AAACGAAAAAGAGATACAACCAGGATTAGATTTTTAAAGTAATAGTTACATCTGAATACCCAACTAACCATATCTCAGTGACATTGTCTCACTATGAACCTACATATAAAGTTATTTTGTGATTATATGGTTACTTTGGTACTCACATGAAATGTTGTGCAAGTACCACAACTTCAACAACGCCCAACTATGGCCAGCTCAATTTACTCTTTTACACTCAATTTACTCTTTGAATCAGCGTACACCAACATGATAATCTACTAAGAAACACCTAAGAATGTATAGAGATAAAGCTCAAAAATACAGTTTTAACTGATGGTACTTTATAAACATAAAACTGTCCAATATTGGACCCTGCCAACACACGGTGCCTGCACGATAATGTGGGCCGTCAGAATGGTTCATCGGTTGCGAAGTGAAGTGCTTCTCAAACTGAAGCGATACATTTCTCAATTTTTCAACGTTATCCTAACGTAAACTTAATATTATCACCCATATGCCCGTCCACGCCCGAAACTCAACCACCATACAAAATCAAATAAAAATGTTTCTGTATGTGTAGTGATTCCCACTAACTGGCAACACAGTAATGTATGTACGTCATAAACTTTGGATTGGAGAAATATAATAAAAAGTTACTTCCTCGTGTACGCGTGTATTTTAATTCGACTCCTAACATTTTGGCGACGATCGGAGAAAACCGGGATTAAATTCGCTGAGGAAGGCTCTATACGTAATGGAGCAATGATTAAATTCGGTAAACGTGAGTTTACGATTCGGAATAGTGGTTTTACGTGAGAAATAAACCAAAAATAATATTTGGGGTATAACCTCAAATTGACGCCTTTGTGACAAGGACGGCAGACGAGCTGAAAGCAAGACGGAAAACGCATCCGACAATCGGGGTTTTTTGACGAAGGGAAAGATTGCTGTGAAGAGGAGCCAAAACAAACGTGAAAATAAACAGTGTCTCGCCATAGTTGCGTAAAAGAAGATGGAGAACAGCAAATCTACTTTGCTACCTTTTGACACCAATAGCACCGCATCGATTGCGGGTCTACGGTAACGGTAAACTAACAGTTCACAACACTTTCAAAACGGAAATTACCACCCGTTCGAAGCGTGTATTTCACGACGTGTATGTTGTGGATAACGAAACAGGGGCTAATTTGCTGTGCAAGAGTACATCGTTGGAGCTGGGAATCCTGGAGATCCATGCAGAGGCGTTTTGTGTGTCAGACATTGAGGACCCTAAGGTGGGAAAGGTGAAGAATTTGCAGGTGAAAGTTCAGATTAACAAGGAAGTGGTGCCAATTCAACAACCATGCAGGCGTTTACCGATTCCCCTACAGGACGTAGTTGAAGAAAAGCTGAACGATCTATTAAAGCAGGATGTAATAGAACTGGCGCCGTTGAAGATTACATGGGCATCACCTTTGGTAGTCACGCCGAAAGATGAAGGGAAAAATGTACGCCTGTGTGTTGACATGCGTATGGCTAACAAAGCTATAATCCCCGAACGACATCCGTTACCAACATTCGACGAAATAATGCCTCATTTAGACGGTTGCAAGTATTTTTCGAAGATTGATCTGGTGAAAGCTTTTCACCAAATCGAATTGGATCCAGTTTCCCGAGAAATAACAACCTTCGTGACTCCGTTCGCATACTACCGTTACAAGCGTCTAATGTTCGGTATGAACTGCTCCGCTGAAATATTCCAATGGGAAATTGAGCGGATCTTGAAAGGCCTAAAAGGAATTCGAGTATTTATCGACGACATTCTTATATATGCGAAGACGAAGGAAGAACATGACGCCAGAGTACAACTAGTTCTAATGCGGCTTGACGAACATGGATTGACGGTCAACACCAAGAAGTGTGAGTTTCGAAAGAGGTCCGTAAACTTCATGGGTCACACCCTGTCAGAGCAAGGCATACTGCCAATGAACGATAAGATAAGTGCCATCCAGTCTTTTCGGTATCCGCAAAACTCAGCCGAAATGCGCAGCTTTCTAGGGCTAGTGAACTATGTTGGCAAGTTCATTCCAAATCTCTCAGAGATGTCGAGTACGCTACGGCAGATGACAATCAAGGGTGCCAAATTTGAATGGACTGGAGAACGACGACAGTACTTCAAGAGAATCAAATCTTCTCTAGCTAACCCTAAGCATCTGGGATACTACAGTCCACAGAATCGCACGCTGCTTATCACTGATGCCAGTGGAAATGGTTTGGGAGCCGTCTTGGTGCAGATTATCCATAACGAACCTCGAGTGATTAGTTATGCAAGCAAAAGCTTAACAAATACGGAGCGAAAATACTCGACGCTAGACAAAGAGGCCTTGGTCATTGCTTGGGCGACAGAGCGGTTTCAAATGTACCTAACAGGTCTGGAATTCACAGTCATAACAGACCACAAGCCGTTGGTGAATATCTTTAACGAAACGTCATCCCCAAACAAGAGGCAAGAAAGGTGGGTGCTTCGGATGCAGTGCTATAGGTATCGCATGCTGCACATCCCAGGGAAGATCAACATTGCGGACCCGCTATCACGGCTGCCAGAAGAATTGAGAAGCAAAACGTTCGACAAAGACGCGGAGGCAGCACTATACGCTATCGCGGAGGTTAGCATGCCGGTAGCAGTGACGATGGACCAGGTGATACAGTGCTCGCAAGAGGATTCGGAGATACAAAAGGTTAGAAAAGCTCTAATAGATGACAACTGGGAAGGTAATTTGAAACGGTACGCACCGTTCAAGGGTGAACTATGCTTTGCAAATGAAGTACTGCTGAGGGGGTCTAGAGTTGTTATTCCAGCAACACTACGAGAAATGGTTCTAACATTGGCGCACACCGGTCACCCAGGGCGTGAGAAGATGAAACGTAGAATGAGGCTCGGAATGAGGATTGCGGTTTGGTAGCCCGGTATGGACGCTGACGTGGAGAAAACTTGCCGAGAGTGTTTTAACTGTCAACTAGTTGCACCATTTGAGAAGCCGGAACCACTATGTATCCGGGACTTGCCTGCCGCTCCGTGGGTTCATCTGGCAGGTGATTTTCTCGGACCGCTACCGGATAACAGTTACATATTTGTGCTGATCGACCTCTACAGCCGATACGTTTTGACGGAACGGATGACTCGAACAACCTCACGTGACGTGATTCGTTTTTTGAGGGATACATTCACCAGGATGGGACTTCCGCTAGTACTGACATTCGACAATGCTAGAAATTTTTCAAGCGAAGAGATGAAAAACTATTGCTTCGACCATGGCATCAAGCTGACTCACACTACGCCATACTATCCCAGCGCAAACGGCGAGGTCGAACGACAAAACCGATCGATCCTAAAAGTGCTGAAAATTAGCAAACAGAAGAACATCGACTGGAAAGAAGCTCTACAAGAATACCTGTATATGTACTCTGTGACTCCACATTCCGTAACAGGTGTTTCACCGGCGCAGTCAATGTTCGGAAGAAGATTCCGAGACTTGATCCCGCATTTCCAAATGCAAGTTTTAGATGACCATGAGATGCGTGGTAGGGATCGAATGTTGAAGTACCAAGCAAAAACTTACTGCTATTGCAGTTTTTCAGTGTACCACATGGTAACACCACTACTACTGAATTGTACCACATGGCAACACTACTAATGGATTGTACCACATGGTAACACTAAATGTACTGGAATGTTTTGGTTCTATCTCTTTCACTCTACTCTAAATTGAAATGCATAAAAAATGCACACTGTCAAAGATCATATTGCACACAAAATCAACTATGTTCAAATCAAAACAAAAATACTAGCCCATCTGGTGGCTGATGGCACAAGCTTCTAAGAAAATTCTATTACAGCGAACCACATTATTTTAATTGATTTCTTCGCCAGTTAGTCGTCTGTCACTTCTTTTGTGTTATAACTCTCCAGTCTGGACAGCGTTTTATTTGATAACCGTTATAACATGTTATAACTCTCCAGTCTGTACAGTGGCAGGCACGTAGGCAACATGTTATACCGTGACAGCGGGCCCAAAACAGCAAAATAAACGATTTGAGCCCGGGACATGCTGCCTACTGTCAAACGCTGCTGATGGTATAGGCCTTGTCACTGGCCTGGTCTAAAAAACATCAAATAAATCCATGATTTCAGCGTCAATAGGTAGATTTTACGTTTGGTACGATACTTTAGTTCAAATGCTACCGAACGAAGTCAATAAGAACGCGTGATATGAATGTTTGCACCCAATATTCTCAAATACAATTGACCACTTTATTCGAGCACTTCAAATGACGTTTACTACCACTTGAACTTTGAAATAAAACATTATCTTGAGATTTTTTCTTCTAGAACCTCGAGAAAAGTAGCCAACATTTGTGCGTTTCATAAAAAATATAAATTATTTTGTCCAGTTTTGTGAAATCGCTGGTAGAAAGTCACACCAAAACTGCTTGACAAAGTGGTCAATTGAAGCGCTCCGACCGAATTAACCTTTCACCCCTATTCTGTATTTCGTTTCGAACGAAATTCTCATACAAAAAAATATTTTTTTGTATGAGAATTTCGTTCGAAACGAATTACAGAATAGGGGTGTTTATCTTCATCCGATAGGCCGAAGTGAATGCGTTAGGCCGAGTATAGAATCCGTAGTTTTCTGCTTCAGAAATCCTACAACATTTTTGACATTTTGAGCTAGTCTAACATTTTTTCGAATACTCGCACTAGAGAAACGCATTTTTTACACCAAAATTAAATGATTAGTTCAAGTAGGCTTCAAGCATTAAGCCCGCAGATTTTTTGTAAAATATGTTCATTAGCTAGATTGGCCCACTTACCCCTACCTACGTTACTTCTATCTAAAATATCGGAAGTTGCAACAGCTTTCCACCCGCCAAAAATGTCTATGACGGTATGAAGAATGAATGCTTGCCGTGCGACTGTCCAATAGCTTGACTATCATCCCCAAAGGACCCGTTTCGGATGACGAAAAATCTTCTGTTTTTTGTTTGTTCATGATTAGATATGAAGATAATGTTTAATAGACTTGTTTTAAGGTAGGATATTACTTATGTGTTTTGCCAGCCAGTTTAAATCTTAGATCTTGCAAGGCGAAGACTGAAGTGTTCATGCAAGACAAATGTTTCCTTGCTATCGCGTCATCAATCCATCAAGTAGCTTTCAATCGAATATCTAATACTATTATATTTAACATATACCTATTAATCAGTGTATAAGAGTGGTATGTGCTTCCTCCTAATCATCATATTCACTGCGTTCAATTTCTCCCCCAGTTGTCCCCAGTTTAGCGTTCCTATATTATAGTAATATTAGCAAACTGGTTCTCCCATTATTGAATCAAATCAAATCAGACAAAAGCAGATCAAACTTGTTCCTAAAACCGATTCCGCTTCAAGTCGGAGCAACCACTTTGCCCATTTTAATATAACTTATCTCGAAAAAATAAATGAACTGTATAAAACAATGTAAAGGTACAGCTAACGAAAAAATAACGTTCAAGTATTTAATTGGATAAATGTTTCCGCCGCTAAGGTTTTGTGTGTGTGTACTCCCTTAACGGTGATGCTTTACATCCTGCCAACCATCCTCATCCGGGCCGGTGGTACGGACTGTTGAAAGACAAGAGAAAAATCAATGCCCGACAAATTCGACTCAATCGCAAAGTTTCAACTCACCTTCCTTCGGTCGTTCTTCGCGCTTTTCTTCCTTCGGTTTGGCCACCGGGTCCTGTCGGGGAGTATTTCTCCAGTTGCCACCAGTACTCTCGTCGCCACCACGGGCTCCACCAGCACCGCCACCACCACCGCCGCCGCCACCACGGCGCCAAGTGTTCTCCCGGTCGCGATCCCCACCCTCGCGGCGTAGTCCACCGCGATCGTCACGACGATCACCACGGCCGGCAAAGTCCCGTCGCTCACCACGATCCCGATCACCACCACGGTCCCGGTCGCCGCCATCGCGACGCATTCCAACGGCTCGTTCACCATCGCTGTTTTCAGATAAATAGAATTAGAGTGGGTATTGAAAATTACACTGATGCAACTTACCGCATCGGAGGACGATCTACTGCCCGGCGAATCGGACCACGATCGTCGTCACGGTCGCGATCACCTCCAGCACGGCGGATTGGTCCACGATCGTCCCGATCGTCAGTACGACGCATCGGTGGACGATCACCTCCAACTCGACGTGGTCCATCGCGATCCTCTCTACCTTCGTCATCCTGGCCGCCGCCGCCACCACGACGCCATTTGTTGTCCGATTCTTCACCTCCGGCGGCCCGTCGCTCTCCACCACCAGCAGCAGGAGCCCCACCAGCGACACGGCCCTCTCGGAACCGTCCGGAAGGTTGCCAAACTCCATCCTTCTTGGGTGCATCCTCTCGTGGTTCCCGTTCCCGTTCCCGGTCTCTTGGTCCGGTGGTTCTCCAGTCCGATTCCTGCTTGGGTTCGGCTGCTGGGGCTTGAGCTGAAGATGGAGTTTCGCCTCCGCGGCGATCCCTCCAGGAATCCTCCTTACGATCGCGATCACCACCGCGATCACGATCACGATCGCCGCCACGATTTGCCTTGAGGCGTTCTTTTTCCTCGTTCATCTTCTTTTCGATCTCCTCATCCCTGGCACGTTGCTTCTCCATAATCAGCCGAGCCTTCTCATTCTCGATGCGGCGCTCTTCGGCACGTCTCTCCCGCTCGATACGATCTTCTTCCTCCTTCTGCTTGCGAATCTCCTCCTCGACTCGTCGGCGTTCTTCCTCCTTCTCCTTGAGCCACTTCTGGCGACGTTCTTCACGCCGCTGGAAGACGCGCTCTGCCAGGCGACGTTTGCGCTCCTCCTCCAGGGCGACGTTGAAGGCCTTCAGCTTTTCGGCAAATTGGTTGCTTCGTTCGCCCTTCAGCTTCTGCCAGAACACCTCCCGGTCGGGTTGCATGCGCTTCAGCCTCTCCTGGATGGCTTCGGCCATCTTGCGCTCGGCAACGGCCTCCTCGATGCGGGTTGCCTCCTGCTTTTCCCAGAACTCCTTGTCCTGGACCAGTTTGTCCTCCAGATACTTATCGATCAGTGGAATTTCCTCCAGTCGCTTGGCTCGCTCGAAGTAGTCGATCTTCTTCTCCTGCGACTTCAGATTGTTATCGTGGGCCTTGCGCTCCTTCAGACGCTCCTCAGCCTCCTTGGCGGCAATTTCCTCTGCGTTCATCTTTTTGATATCCTCTTCGTCGAACTTCTTCAGGATCTTCTGACCGGCGGCCGTTTGCTTGATTTGATCGATCTTGTCCTTCATGTTGCGCTCCTTGATCATCTGGATTTCGTTCTCCTGTCGCTTCCTCTCGCGTTCCTCATTCTCCGCCTCGAGACGTCTCATCTCGGCCAACTTCTGCTGCCGGGCAACTTCCTCTTGCTGCCGCAGCTCCAGTTCCTCTCGCTCCAGATTCACCCTCTCGATGTACTCCTTGCGGTCTTCGATCTTCTTCTGACGCTGCAGAATACGCTGATGTTCCTTGACCATGTTCTCCTCGTAGCTTTTGACCATCTGTGCCCGGAGACGATCCCGCTCGGCCTTATGCCGGTTGGGATTGATCGTGGCGATGGCCCGATGCAGCACCACCGACATGTTGACCAACTGCGAACGGACCTGCTCCGAGGGCATTGACTGCAGAGTGGGACCATCCGGGTGATCCTCCCGCTGGCTCTCGCTCAAATCCGTTCCAAAGTGGACGCAGTGGTTGCGATGGTCGATCGTAATTTGCATATCGTTATGACGCACGCAATCGACCAGAATGCGTTCCAAGTTAAAGCTGGTGGAAAACTTGGCCAACGCGAGGAAACGCGAGAACTCGATGGACTGGTAGACCTGCGAGACCTGGCGAACCAAACGGACCAGAGTGACGTCCTGCAGGGCCTGAGTGTACTGGCCGTAGGGGTTATTCTCATCGACGGTGATTTCCTCGATGATGCCCTGGACACGCTCACACAGATTCAACGGATCAAATTCCACTTCCAGCCACTTGTACAGATTTTGGAACTGGGGAGCGGCCAAGTGAAGCACATTCAAACGGAGCACATCCTTGAGCAGAGACACGCGGGACGGCGGCTGCTGCAGACCAAGCAGAACGGCAAGCTTCTGGGCCTTCTCCAGAGGACTCTTGTCGGTTTCGATGAAACGATCAAACTCCGGATGGGCAGACGGAAGCGGAATGGCCAAAGTGGCAATCAGAACGTGAGAAGTCATCCGTTGAATCTCCTCTTGCGTCACGTTCTTCTTCATGTCCCGAGACAACTGGAACAACTTGAGCAGTGCCGCAGCATGGAACAGCTGATTCCCAGCCTTCCAGAATACCATGGCCAACTTCTGGTAGTACAAGGCCATCGTCTTCGGCATCGGTGTCTTCTTGGACAGAGTCATCAAGCCATGGATGTCCTCGATGGCCTTGTAAGCCTCCAGCCACAGTTCCATCTGGATGGCACAATCCAGCTGATTTAGACGCGTATCCAAATTCAACTGTTGCGTCTCCGGCTTCGAGATGCTCACATTGGCCGTCTGCGAACTCACCTTGCTAATATCCTCAAGATGCTTCCTCAGCTTCTCGCACAGCTTCCTGAACTCCATCTTCCTGTTATACTTCAAACAGAACGCGAAGGCCATCTTCGCGATATCGTGATACAAATTTTCGCAATGAGAGTTGACCTTCAACAGTTCCAAACACTGACAGTAGCTCTCCCACAAGAACTTCACCCACGGCAACAGAATCGTACGATCCGAACGATCCTGAGCATCCTCTCCGCACACGGCACTCATCAGAATCGACTCCGGCGTCGCCAGATTATCCAAATCGTCAATGTCCAATATCGCTTGCGACGACTGCTGCTGGGCAGCTTCCGTTCGCTCTTCAGCCATCTTCAGATAGCCGCGGATGACATTCTCCAGCGAACCCACATTCACCAGCTGGAACATGTTCCGGTACTGGAACAGACCTTCCTTGGCGATGTGGGACTTCTTTAGCTCCACGCACAGGTCCAAATACTTGAACATGATCGGCTCGATCACCGACTCGGACCAGGTGTAGGTCCATTTCTTGATACGGAACACCTCCTGGAGCGTGTCCAGGGCACGGGCCGGCTTGCCCACCTCAATGAATTCTAAAATAAAACGAAAACATCCAGGTTAGGAAATTTCTACGCAGTTCCCCGAAAACTATTATTTACAAACGACAAAATCATTTCCCACATCCTGCAACGTGGAATTCAGAAAATTTAAACATAATTCTCCCATTCACTCTCCCTCTGCCGTCAGCTCCTGTATCAGTAGCCGAAAATCGAAACGATAGCAGAGAGCAGGTGGAGACGAAGAACGAGTGAAAGCCACCATATTGGATCTGGGATGGCAGCCCAGAAAAAAAAAAACCGACTCACCATTGGCCCGTTTTAGGGCATTTTCCGGACGTTGCATATACCGAGACATGTTGACATTCGTGGGGGTAGCACTGGTCACTTGAAAGAGAAAGCTTTTTCCGACTTTTTGCACGGTTTTGCAGCGTTTTTAGCAATTTTTCGGGTGCCGAAATTTCACCACGCAGTCGGTCGCGTTTTCAACAAATCGCGAAAGGGTCGGCCTTGTGAATGGTGACGTTTTGCTGTCGCGCTGACAGATCGGGTCAAAATGGCGGCTGCGCTTTGCGCGTGACGTTTTGCCGAATAATGCCGGTTGACGTGAAAACGATCAGTTTTATCAGCCCCCAGTGGGCTTGAACGAGTCATTGAAATATTACGTATCGTATCGCAAAGTACACTCGAAAAATGTGCCACTCAAATTCAAGAGTGTTTTTCCAATAGGTCCGTAAGTGGTACAGCGTAATTGGATTTTTTAAGGGAGGGAAATGCAGGTAATGTTCGGCCTAAGTGTCCCTAATTTGGGCCCATACATAAATTCAGCAATCGACTAAATTTTCAATAGCAACCAAAAATATCCATTGGTAACGTCCCAATAACGCGTTCATCTAGATAAAATTGATAAATAGCAGATTTTTAGCGATGGGCCCAATCTTAGATCCATAGGCCAACATTAGAGACACTTCCCCTACAAAGCGTTTAAACAGTTTTTGTACAAGTTCGATATGGATTATTGCAAACGGTGAATTATTTAACTCCTGCAGGTCCTCGCCGATTATAGCGATATTCAATGCTGTCAACCATTGGATTTTTGTAATGCAATGGAGAGCCATATGCAGTCGATTCCAATGCTGACAACTGAACTGAAACTGAAACTCAAATTTCGAAAGTTCCGGTGGATTCTTCTTAATTTTCAACGGAGAAAGTTCCAGTCGATTCCGGTGGAGATTTTCAATGCTGCCAACGAAAGTTCCAGAGGATTTTTCTAACGTTGTCGACAAAGGAGGTTCAATTTGATTTCGGCGGATATTTTGTATGCTGGAAACAGTGAATTTTCTGATTTCTTGACGGAACAAATTCTAGTCGATTCTGGTGGTGATTTCGGCGCGGATTTCGGATGCTGCCAACGAAAGTTCTGGTTTTTTTTTTTCAATGCACCGAGCAGGTTCATGTCGATTCAGTTGAAGGTTTTCGATGTTCCAGTCGATTCGAGTGGAGATTTTCGATGCTGCCAACGTAAGCTCCATTCTAGACTCCAGTGAACCTTTTTTAATTTTTTGAGATTCCACTCGATTTTGGTGGAGATTTTCGATGCTACCAACAGAAGTTTCGCTGAGCTTTTCTGACGTTGTCAAGAGAGGAGCTTCCAGTCGATTCCTGTTAAAAATGTTGATGCTTCCAACGAAAGTTCTCGTGAATTTTTCTGTCGTTGAGGATGAAAGAGGTTTCAATCGATTCCGGTGGATATTTTCGATTCTACCAACGTAAGCTAAAGTGGATTTTTTTTCTGACATTGTCGACGTAGGAGGTTCCACTCGATTGCGGTGAAGATTTTTGATGCTGCCAACAGAAGTTCTGGTGGATTTTTACACCGTTAAAGTATTTCAAAAAATCCACCGGAACCTTAATGGGCAGCATCTAAAATCTGCACCGGATTCGACTGGAACTTGCTCCGATGAAAATTCAGAAGAATGTTCAGAAGAATCTACCGGAAATCTCGTAGGCAGCATTAAATATTTCCACCAAAATTGACTGGAATCTTTTCCTCTTGACAGGAATAGACAGAAACCTGCTCCGATGAGAATTCAGATGTTGTTGGGAGCATAAAAAATTCCCACCGGAATCGAAGAAACCCGCTCCTATAACGTCTATAACGCAAACAAATTCACCGGAGCTTTGGTTGGCAGCATCGAAAATTTTCGCCGCAACCAACATGACCCTGCTTCGTCGAGAATGCAGAAAAAATCTCAAACAAAATCTAGCAAAACATTCGTTGGCAGCCGATCAAACAAACTTATACCACAGACAAACATACATAACACATTGAATACAACTCACTGTAAAACCTCGTCGCTAAAGCATTACCGCCATCTGTTGAGTATACTTTGGTGAGCACTACGCTTAACAGATGGCAGTAGTGTGTAAACGTCAAACGCAAGGGAATTGACTATGAGCGCCACAGGTGGCGATACTACCAATCACGATACTTTTAAATTTTTCGTTAAATCGTTAATGTTTGTCTGTGCTTATACATACCAACCGGTAGAAACTAACGATTTTAAATTGGCTTACTACTTGACTAGCCTATTGGTCCCAAGCAAATAGATCAACGTACCCCATTCTATTCGAAATTCTAGTACTACACTATGTTTGTTTTGATTCGTTATGAAAGTTTGACAGATAAAATGAGGGATTCTTGGATTTTCCTATGCTCGAGGGGTGCATCGATTAGCTTGGGACCGTGACGTTTCTTCAGGAACTTCTGGTCTTAGAGTTACCTCTGTGCTTATACCCCTGTTCACATTACAGCCTATATATCACGTAATATAGGCTGTCTTGAAATGAGCACTCATACATAGGATTTCCAGTGAAAACTAGATGTATGAGTGCTCATTGCAAGACAGCGTATATCACGTGATATACGCTGTAATGAGAACGGGTTATTAAGATTGATACTTTAATTATAGATGATAATGTTTTTCCTTTCGTAAGAAATCGTCCAAGAGACGTACTCGTTATTTTGAGGCTACTCATGTTTGAGTTGAAAATCACTCAGTTCAGCCAAATGGGAAGTTACCTAAAAATGACTAAACATGCTTTTACTCAAATTTGAGTAAACCTGCCTATGGAGGAAACTGGGTAACGATTACTCAGATTATGGCATTTGTCAACTGAGTCAAACCTTATCCATTTCGATAGAAACAAATGAATGCCCCATGAATGCTTTATATATAATTTTTTTCGTCCAGGAAGAATATTTAAAACAACATTATGAAAATGATAATTCTGTATTCATTGATACCACCGAACTATTTGCTTGAGTTGTATATCGTACCAACTAACTGCTGCTAGCTTTCACTATCCAGGTTATTACGCAATCGCTCCATTTTCACTGCTTCACTTCTAAAAACTAATTTTAGACTCGCTGCGCAAAAATCACCTGTTCACAACTTCAAAGTGCGCCATTTTGAACTTAGGAAAAATAGATATCAGAATCATTTACCCAGAAAGAAGGTTAGATTCCACTCATCGGAGCAAAACCAGTTTACTCTTTTTTTGACAACTGTATCTTCTTCTTCTTCTTCTTCTTCTTCTTCTTCTTCTTCTTCTTCTTCTTCTTCTTCTTCTTCTTCTTCGCATTTCAAGCTTATTGCATGTCGCATATTAGCTTATTGCGTGCTCTCAACTTAGTGTTCTAGATGCACTTCCACAGTTATTAATTGAGAGCTTTCGATGCCTGTACCATTTTTGCATTGGTATAATTGTGTGGCAAGTCCAATCATACTTCTATGCCCAGGGAAGTCGAGAAATTTTCCAACCCGAAAAATTCCTAGACTGGACCGGGAATTGAACCCAGCCACCTCCAGCATGGTCTTGCTTTGTAGCTGCGTCTTTACCGACTGAGCTAAGGGAGGCCCCAACTGTATACAGCATGCAAAAATGAGTTTGATCTACCCTGTCAATGAGTAGCCTCAAAATAGATGTGTGCAAGCCTTCTTGCGGTTCCCGATCGTTGGATTCTTTTTGACAACCACTTCGAGTGAGACCGCACCACTTAAGCTGGGCTTAGACTAGGCAACCCTAATAAACAAATACCATAAACGAATGGTGGAATTATCCCATAAATAGTTTCGATGGTACTCCAAACACGTAGTTAAGCTCTTTCTTATGGTTATTTTTATTAGGGAAGTCATTTGATCAACTCAGTTGAATTCAATTGGCTTGAAAAGTTGAGCCTGGTTCAACTTTTTTCAATTCAAATGAGTTGATCAAGTCAGTTGAATGGCATGGTTTATACGTTCAATTCGCGTTCAAGTCAGTTGAATTCAACTGACTTGATCAATTGACTTGCCCTGTCTAAACCCAGCCTAAGTTAAATATTATCTTCAATTGTGAGCTGTTTTGGTTTAGTGTGTGTTCCCACCGCAGGGGCTTTCTGCACGGTTAGAAAAAAAGTATCCAAAGTTCTTTTCACTCATCTCGGCACTATAGTGCAGGAACCCAAAAGAAGGTAAAGCGGGTCAAAGTAATTTTCATTTACTTGTGTGCAGTTCGTATGGAATTTTCCACTGGCTTTTTAACCAAAAGTAAGTTAGTTGTACCCAACAGTAGGTATATATGATTATACTCAACGTTGGGTTCCCACACTTTACTACCCCTGTTGGGTGGTTTTGCTCCTTCGTTTTTGACAACATTAGTAGGAGAAAAGGAGACAAACTAGTCAAAAGTAGGTAAAAGTGAACTGGCCGTTGGGTACTTTTTTCTTACCGTGTGAGAAACGATAAAATTTAAAGCGTTCGGTTCCAATAGAAATCGTATTCGAGGCTACGAAACTTCTGAAACTCTTTACTCCTATGGGGAAATTTCGTAAACAAACGTCAGTCTGTTCGTGAAATATGGCGGATTATTTCTTATTCGGTCACTCCACCGAAAAAGCCGGTAAGCTATGTGAAACGAAATTCCATGTCCGCCATGTTTCGAAGATGCGAATCGAACGAACGGTTGACCCAATGGCTGTCATTTTCGTCTCGCTCCGCTCCTTCCGAATTTCGGTATCGATGTCGATCCTCCTGTGTCAATCTCGTGGCGGTGTTTGCGTGGACTTATCTACTCGATAAAAGTGGATTTTTTGCTTCGTTCAGCTCGCGGATTCTAAAGGTGATTCGCTGGAATTATTGTACTATGTGCCGTGTAAAGTGAACAATTTGTGCTTCAAGTGAAAAGTGAAAATTTTCGCGACAACCCTCTCGGTTAGGTAACGTGAGATTTGACAGGCAGCTAAATTCAACAGTTTTTTTTTTTTCATTCTCATCCGTAGTATCAACCTCAATACAGGTAAGTTTTTCAAGCTTGACTGTGCTATGTACTACAGAATCTGTACCCATCCGCTGTTTACTGGTCAAGATCACGGGACTCAGCGAAGCGTATCAAACCCTCGAAAAAGCGAAAATACAGAGGGGAAAGTACCATAACCTCATTGCGTGATCCATTGGCTGCCAAGCGAGC